AGACTAAAAATCTCTTCGACAAGATTGAGAAGGTTATTACATATACAATATTTATAATAACGACAGTTCCAGACAATATCCATGGTGCTCACGCAATAGCATCATCATCATCATCATCATCATCATGAAGATGAGGATAGATAATAAAAAGAAAGAAAGAGAAAAATATTTATATATATTTCTATTTGGTCAGAATATGTACTTTCACTTATAATACACACTAGAATAACCTTATTTTTATTATCACTATTATTTATAACCCGAGGAGAGGGAGTGGATGTCGGATGAAAATGATGAAGATTATGAAGATAAAAACAAAGCAACAATAAAAAGAGATAGAAAATTAAAGTGAAATATGAGTTATGGGCGTTCGTCATCATCTTCTGTTCATATCATGTCAATGATTATTTATCAGAATGGATTGAATTTTTTTTTCTTCTCCAACATCATTGAGAAAACCATGAGATTCAACTTGTTGTCATGAACTTTTACATGAACATTTTTCATGATATCATTTCATTGACTGTGTCATCATCCATTTAGTTGAATATGTTACTTTGTTTTTCTTTTTTTTTCTTTCCCTCATCCAGTATTTTCGATCAGCTCTTGAATAAAGAACAAAAAAATGTTCTGTTCGTTTTTACATGAATGATAAACATCATCAAAATGAGTCTCGGTGATTCATTGATTATCTTGGAATCTTTTTCTCTGACTATTGAGCTTTTTGTCTTATTCAGTCAATATCTTCTTTGATTATCAACATGAACTCAGATGAAGAGCAGAAGGGAAATTATTACAGCAGATGAAATTGGGAGGATCAGTTTTCCTTGGTGGAATTGTTGCGAATTTCGAATTTTATCAGTTTTTGCTTTCTTCTCTTTTCCATTAGCAACATGCATTCTAAATTTTTTCCATTCTTACTTTATCTTATAACTTTTTTCTTTTTGAATATTTTCTTGGTATTAAACATGATTACATTGTTTCTGTTTGACGATAAAGTTAATGGCTTCAATCTAGAATCGAGAAAAAATCACGAACTTGTCTTTTATTTATAATATCGACTGATAATTGTAATAAGCAAAGTGAGAAAAACAATGGAAGAGGAGAATCTTCATGTATTATCAGGATAATATTATCAAGATGAAATATAATTTATCTCATTTAGTTTTTTCTTCATTATTTAGTTTCCAAATTCATTGCCACTAATATCTTTTTTTGGCCGACTGGTGAAAATGAACTTATCATTAACTCTAGCTAATGGATTATGATTAAATTACCATAATCACTTTGAGATGTTGGCATGAAATATGAAGCAATCAAGCATATCATCCAAAAAAGGATCATAAGTTGTATCATTTACATCAAAACGACGCGGAGTTATCACTCAAACCTCAGGCAGTAGCAAACCAAGAAACTAGTGTTTCTTGAAATGATTACTAATAATAGCACAACCCTTTCAAAATTTGATAAAATTTAAGCTTTCAAAGAAGATGCTTTGAGTAAACTTCCACAAATGTTATTGAACTTGGTAAAAATTTCCAATTTTAAGACTATGGATAGATAAATCGTGACTATAATCTATGTGCTGTTGCCCGATGCATGGTCAAAAAAAAATCAACTCGTTAATAAACCTATGACCTCTTGTCCTCCATCATCCAGGTAAAAACACATTGAGATGGAAGATCTGACAAAAAGGGTTAGGGAAGACATCTTTTATACGGAAAGTTGTAACCTATTCGGAAAAAAGTTGGACTCTGGCTTTATATGGATAATTCTTGTCTAATTATTAGTGAAAGTCTGGCCTATGATAATCTATCAATCGTTTTCGAGAAAAATCATATCAAAATCAAACCAGAGTCCAACCTTTTATCCAAATAGGTTAGATGTTAGTCGACAAGAAATACATGTATGAGTTGATAGAGGCTCTAGCATTTCCAGATATTAGTGCTACAAAAGCCCTAACTAACTAACTTGTAAGTATAATAATATGCTCGCCGTTTCATATTGATCATGAATAAACTACTATCTCATCACTTTTAGTATGATTTTAAACGTTCAAACAATGTCAATGTATGCTAATCAATTTACAATATTAACTATCCCATTATTGACTACATACATTTCAATTTTTGTGTTTATATCATTATCTAGTCTTTCTCCAACAAAATCATCATAATTTTATAGTTTCACTTTCAATTTTGTCACAATAAGCTTTACCATGAAGGCCAACAGATGATAATGATGATAAAAATGATGAAAATGTAATGGAATTTTATATAACTTTATAAAAGTAAAGACGGATGAACATATCTAAAAATTGCATCGGGATGATGATGATCATCATGAAGTTTCAAATGCAACTGTATAACTTATTGATTCAGAATTTCATGTTAAGAGAAGATTTTTCCGAGCTTCTATCCTTTTTTTGGATGAAGAGAAAAAATCTCTCTCCTCTTCAACCATGATGCTGATCATCATCATCGTCTCATGAAGATTTCTGTCAGTTTCCATTTCTTTTCACTTATAAAATCGTTCAAATAACATTAAGACTAACTGAGAAGATGAAGTTTTTGAAAATTGTCACTACACTGGGAGAGAGAATCAGATGAGTAGAAGGTATTACTTGTGGGTGGGTGATAGACCATCAGATGATAATGGATGACTGATAACAATTTCATTAGAATGAAAATTTGATTGGACAGAAAATAGAAATCTATCCAATTGGTTTGAAAACCAGAATTGAAACATTTTATCGTCAAACTTACACATATATTAATATCTATGTTTCTGAAAAATTGAATGTTTCCCTTAACTTTTTTTTCCTCTCTCTCTCTCTCCCTTATTACGGAATTGGAACTTTTTTTTCGGTATCATCGTGGGTTTAAACCATCATCATCATCTATCAATATGTGGAAGTCTGATAATTTAATAACAGTTATCAGTTAGTGCTCAAGTTCAAGTCCCAAGATCTATGAACAAGTACTTGTTTTCGAAACTTTTTTTGTTGATTTCACAAAAAAATTGCTCAGGTTATACAAAATCTATCATGATCATAAGTTTATGATTAATATTAATCGAGTTGATAAAGGTGAAGAGCAATTGGATTAAGCTGGGTGAGTTTGGGTGAGTAAATTTGATTGGCATGATTTGTATTAATAAACTTGTAATCAAATTATCATAATCGTAACAGATTAATATGATTTTTGTTATCAAAATATTCATGCTGATAATAATAAGGCATCAATGTTTTTCCTTGGCATTCAAAAAATATTCAACTTATGGTAAGGTCAATGAACATTTCAAACGATTAAATTACTTTACAACAGATAAATGCTCCTGGTGAAATTTCATGTTAATTTGAACAATTCAATCCCAATGAACCAAATATCATCATCAACTTTGTTCATCATCAACCTCAGTAATCTATGGTATTAGATGAAACAACCGAAAGTATGTTTTTTCATCTCCAATCTAACATGAAGTTGACTTGATGAAGATAAACATGATAATGTTGTTGGCTGATAATGATGATGATGGTGATGGTAAGGATCAGAAAAAAAGGCATCTGAAGGCAAATGCCGGAATGTAACTGAAGTTTCATGGTGATGGAAGAATGGAGAAAAAAAATGAGCGAAGTAAAATTATCGCTGTGATCATCTTTATCTTGTTTTCCATCATCATCATTATCATCTTGTGCATCTTTCATTGATGATGAATGATGCAAGACAATATGGTAATCAATCTTAACTAAAGGTAAAATAAATTCTGGCGCCAACCGGAAGGTTAAACTATTCCCTCCTGGTTCATTGAATCTGCAGCATCTCAATTTGCATTCTCAAAGGAGTTACATATTATATCATCATGGTGATGATATTATTAAACAATATTATCTATCCAGCAGCAGTGAATGATAACACCCTCACCATGTAACCTTAGTTAGCTCAAGAATTTACATCTCTCACTTTGAAAGATGAAAAACAATTTACCTTAACATTTCACTCTGATTCTTTATACTGATTAATTCTGATGTTACCTTGGTGAATTTTATTCAAATCCATAGGTAAGTATGTCTATATAAAGATTATAATGAAATTAGCTTTCAAGCTTCATGAGAAATTGAGATTTGAAATAAATAGCAATAATCTTAGTCTCTTAATCATATATATTTATGGTTAATATTTCTTGAAAATTACTCTGAATCTCTTGTTGATAAATTTATCATTCAATAAAATTATTTACTATTGAAATGAATGAACTTGTTATCAGGTTTATGAGCTGAATATTCTGGTTGAAGTGAATTATTGAGTATAATGAATTTCATGGAATAATTTTTTTCTCTTTTACTTTTTCCTTCCTTCCTATTGATTTGGAATCGATTACATTTATATTCTTATCATTGTTAACCAGTCGAATTGTTTCTCAATTGGTGTTTTTAACATGTTTCTAAGTATTCATGATGATGATTTTTGAATAGTTGTGAATTATTTTGACTCTTTTTCAAATTCGAAACAAAAACGTTTTCTATTAATCTCAAGGTAAAAAACTATTGAAGAAAAACAAAATTGAATTTCTTTGCTCATGATGGATATTGTTCTCTCAACGGTAGTCTTCAGATTCTCATATGAATCGAAAATACTTCATGATGATGATGATGATGATGATGATCAACAACAGGGAGTCTAGAAAATATGAATTTCTATTTTTTAGCAAAAATTCAAGGAAAAATTCGTAAGAAAAAAAAAGAGAACAGAATGTTTTATATCGAAGCTTTTAGACAAACAGAAAAGGGGAAAAAACTAACATGCAATCAATTCAGTTCAATCTTTTACATCAGAGCTTCATTCATATAACATTATTAACACGGAGGAAGATCAAGGAATCAGTTGAGATTTTTTTCCATCTTTTTTTTCATAGAACTCACAACGATTCTTATGTACAAGGGGAAGGTGCTGGTAAGTGAAAAAAAGAGAGATTGAGTCATAAACTAAATCAACACTTACGATTAACTTTTATGGTTACCCTGTTACTGGATCCTTTACCTTCAATATTGAAAGCGTAACATGAATAATCACCTGAGTGACTTTTATCAGCAACTTTGATAACGAGTGTTGTATTATCAATGATTATTCCTGATTGAAATAAGGATTCAATGGTCAAAGTTGATTAGCAGTTAGATTTCAATAATACGAGAAAAAACTTTACCTTTACTTTCATCAACTTTAAGAGGTACTTCATTGAATGTCCACCCAATCTCTTTAATCCCTGGATTAGAGTCGATAATACATTCAAAGATAATTTCGTCATTCTCTTTAATCTCACTTTGATGATTTATTAATCTTGAGACAAGTTTAACATTAGGCTTATCTAATAAAAGAACAAGGGAGAAAGAGAAGATTTTAATGATTTTGAAGAGAAGAACGACAATTAACCTTTGTAATTGAGAATTTTGTCTTATCAAATGAATTCGAATTATGTATTGACTTGTAGTTCTTTCAAATTGTTTAGCTGTCAAATGGTAAGACGAAGATATTTTGTTCATTTTCATCATAATCAGAGACTAAATATCTGATTTAGGTGAAATTAGGTCAAAGTTAAAAAGAAGAGTATAATTGTTGAAAAAGAGAATCAACTTGAGAAAAAAAACTTTTTAAAATCTTATTCCGAAATTGAAACAATTCTTGATACTTTACAGATTTGATTGTTAACAATTGAGTCTTTCTTTTTCATTCCAATTGATAGTTGACAAGTTTTCAACCACAAAACTGAAAGATAATCACTTGGAAATAGAATCAATTTATCAGGATAATAATAACACTTACAGTATATATTGAGAATCCAATCATCTTTAATTGAACTATTTAAAAGGCGAGGATTTTCAGCTTTACATGATAACAAGGCTCCATTATCGGATGGGGAAGGCACCAGTTTTAATATACTTGAGCTACTAATTGATCCATTGGTTTCCGAATTCATCTCTCTGAAATTGGAAATGGAAAAATAATTAAACGAAAATAAATTTGATATACAAATATTATCATTTCTAATTAACTTTTTCCTCTTTTCAACTTTGTAACCTTTTCATTTATAATGTTCACTTACAATTAACTTTATATAAATTAACTTGATACTTTAATTTTTCCTCACTGGTAAATCATTCAAACCTTAACCAATTAACTCCCTTACTGTTTTTATTAACCATTTTCATGGCTTTAATTGTTAATTGATTTACTAAATGATTGTGAAAATCCTAAGACTAAGTTAATTGTTTCGTTGACGATGACCAATCTAACAATTGTTTGTTACAATGTTAATTAACTTTGATTATCCACATTCACAAGTCTTAAATTGTTGTTGATATATTATCTCAATTTTGAAACAGTGTTATTAATATAAAAGCTAATTGATTAGGTTAAATGATTAGTAAATTGTTTTGGAATGTGATTAATGATAAGAGTATCTCCTTTTATTAGACAGTATAATATACAATCTAATGGTAAAAGATTAAAGTTAATTGTCTCCAAGATAATCAAAGTTAATCTTTTTTTGTATCAATTTAATTGTCACAATCTAATGATAATCTTACCTTGATGAAGTGACCAGTTTATTATTTAGATACCAGGTAATCTTGGCTCCAGGACGTGATCCCTTTGAATCACATTGAAGCTCTGTTGATTTACTTGATGATAATGGTCGTTTAATTGATATGATTTTTACGTATAAAGGATATACTATTTAATTGTGAGCAGCAATTAAAAGCAGAATGAAAAGAAATACGATCAAAATTGAGATAAGCTTACATTATCTTGAGATAATTAAAGGTTTGATTACAAATACTTACAATTAATATCTAAAGTTAGCGAATTGTTAATTGATTGAGTTAAATTAGTATTGAAAGATTTACAAGATAAAAGTTTATTTGTATGAGATCGTCCCAGTTTTAGAATGGTCAGCTCGTTGATTGAGATTAGGCCATCTTCCGTTATTTTTGAAGTAAATGTATCGTCCAGTAAATTTTCATCTAGATACCAGTGGACAGAAGGAGCTGGTTTGCCTAAAATATGTAAATATTAATATGATAAAAGATTAATGATGATACTTATCAGTAGGAAAAGGATAATGTTAGTGATAAAGGAAAAAGGTCAAGAATCATTTATTTTCTGTTAGAACTTTTTTTTTATTTAAACATTTTGAATGTGTAACACCTTCCATAGCTTTAGAATGGACATTCATGATAATAAACAGACTTCGGTGAGAGATTGAGATGGCTAATAATTTGGAAGTGATAACGATATTCAGGGTGATTTCAACTGGAGAGAATGTTTCAAGTGTAGAAAAGTTTTTCGAAATTATTGGTGGAAAAGTTGTGAATGTTTATTCAGATAATATCTTTTGATATCTAACATTTTGTACTATTTCAACTATTACCATTTTCCTTTTCCATCTCTACCATGGAAATGCTGAATTTGATGATAATGTAATATGATTAACTTAGGAAACTGCTAATATCCCTTGAATATTAGTATCATCATTATCATTGGTTTATACATATAAATATACAAAATTGTTTCTGGTTAATGTTATATTTGTTTCCATGATATTTCAAAGTTCATAATATTAGATAGACAAAGTAAGTGAATCTCAGGATGAAACAGATAATATTCATGGTGATTATGAATGGAAACAGTGGAGATTGATTTTTGGTGATATTTTCTCTGATTTGGAACTTTCTTCTATTCTCATCTATATCTAGTCAGTACATTATTAGTTTGTACATTTATTAGCCAGTGTTTCAAAAATTATCAGCAGCTCATTAACATCCAGATAATAATAAAGTAGATTAACTTCAACTTTGAATCTGTTGCAATTATTATTCAATATAATTTCACCAACTAATTATACTTATTATCAAACTTTAAAAAACTAGATTGTTCCCAAATTGTATGGGTAATGATATCCAGATAATGATACGAATTCAATGAATGCTCAGATTCAGAAAATATCTAACTAAAAACTTTCTTCTGGTTTCAATCTTTCTATTACTATCTGAGATTCAAGAATACAACTTTTCTATTGTTAAATTAGCATTAGAAACATGGTACACTATATTCAACGGATGCAGTTCAATGTCAATGTTACCAGTCAAGTGAATCCTTTCATATGATTTCCTCTGAATTGCAATATGATCATGTTCATGAAAATTAAACATTTGCAATGAAGCGATTCGTCTAGAACCTTGGATAATATGAAATTGCAAAATTATCTAGTGATAAGAATTGATAGACAATTAGATGTATAAGATAAGGGCTAGGAGACTAATCAAAATTGAAAATGAATTTCATGTTCTCATGTGATAAATAAATTCAATCATCAATTTGATGAACTTTCTCCATATCAATAAAAACATCAATTTTGCTAAAGTCATATTAATCAAACTCTTTTTCATCATGGAAAAGTCAATTCAATACCATTACCTTATGATTATTACACACTAATCATTACAATTCAACAATGATTCTGTTTCGATTGGAGTAACAAAATGATTTGATAGTAATAATTTGTTTATTGTAGCGATAAATGAAAAGGCAAAATGATTAACATTTATTATGATAATCATCATGATCATTTAATACTTTGTTTACAAGTAGTACAAATGTAACATTATTTTGGTCAATCACCATTGGAAAAAAGCTGATTACTGTGTAATTATTATCACGATTATCATTCATCAATATCAGATTAATCCATTAAAACAATACCATCGAGTTCAGTGTTTGCTAAACATTTATAACCATATCATTAACGGTTTGATGGGCGATGGTCATCATGATAATAGCAATCATAATGTAAAAGAAGAAACAATATCAATACAAATCATTTTACAAAGCGTACATAATTAATCATCATTGACCATTGGACTACTGCCCATTGATGTTACAATAAATATTATTGTCCAGTACCCTTCGCATCATTTATAACATGGTCACAAATACACTTCCTACTGACTCATTTTCATGATAAATGATTTGAAACAACCACTAATCATGAACAATTTTATTCATCAGATTCTAACTTTATTTTAAGTTGCATTAATGATGTCATTTTCAAACGTACCCGAACTGGAGTAATATTCTTTTCAATTTTATACTCTCACGATAAAACTGGCAAGTTCATTTAATCGAAGTCGAATGGAGTGCTCACTGTCAATGATTGCAGAATTCAGATTAACTTAGTGATATGAACTCTAACTCAAATCACAAGTTATAAATACAGAATGATAAATAATACACAATATTATTAAGCAACTTGAACTAACTACTAATGGGACACTGTAATCTAATCTGTAAGTTGGCTATGATTTTGTGATCTGAAATATTGTGCTCATTTATGACGAATAGCGAAATTTAGTTCGGTTTTATAAGTATAAAAGTACACTCATTTTAAATTTACTGGTCTTGTTATCAAGTACCTGTAACTGTTCATAGCGAGACTGGTATTAAATCATTTGCTGGGATTTATTGTCCACGTTACTTTGTTAACTGCCGTTGTGCGTTTACACCTCTGAAGCAAATGATGACCATCTTTTTGGTGATGATCTAAGAAACAATTTGATTCATTTATTTCAATCATTTCATCACCTGCTAGCATTGATTTTGTTTTTCTTTCTTACAGTTTAATTGAACAACTGTTGAAAATCTTTTATTCAATGAATTTACCTTAACGAGCATAGCAAAGCTAATAGAAACCTAAAAACTTGTAAGTAGTATCTCTGTATACTACTACTTGTTGAATTACCTTCAGATGACCTTTAAACGTGTTATTTTACCGATGGCCTGAATGACCTTGATCTTTTGATATAACAATTAAGTATCGCAAATTCATACTTCTCAAGTCTCTGACTCTTAGTTGCTGAGAAAATGACACAAAATCGGTAAAATAGCTGAATAGCCCTGTATGTCAACTCATCAAAATTCTAAATACTACTAATACAGGGCTATTCAACTTCATTTTACGAAGATTTTTAAGACGATGTCGATGATCAATTAGTTTAAAAAGATAAAACTTGGTACCATCATCACCTCATTCAGATACATATCGGAAATGTGGGACTTTGTATGAAAAGTTTCAAGGCAACTGAGGTCATTACATGATAAGCATTGTTGGCAAATAAATGACATAGCAACAACTCGTCTCTGGTAAAGAGTTGTAAACAAAGTTAAAAATAAAGATGAAGATGGAGATGAAGATGAAGATAAAGATGAAGATGAAGATAAAGATGAAGATGAAGATGAAGATGAAGATGAGTATAAATATACAATGTAACAAATAGAATAGTTCAGCTGGGATAAATTTCCCCTTCTCTCCTAATTAAAATGAATAAAGTGCTTTAAATCAGTGTTTTAGCGTAAGCGTAAGCGAACTCACGTGTGGAACATCTGCAATAATTCGTGCAATAATCTCTTTCTCTTCTATTCTTTCATTCATCAGTTTACTGCAAATGGGTGTCTCACCAACAAATCACCATGTAATTTCCAGGAAAATCCAACTTGCCCAAATTCCTGGCCTAATATATTTATAATTCCTATTATTAATTGCATTGAAAGATAATAAAAGAATTATTTTCAAAAAACTTGAAATTGATGAGATGCTCACATTGAATCATAACCTACCTGATGATGATTTTCTGAATTTCTGATTAACATTTAAAACTTTATGTAAATGCAAGTCTTTAACCTGATTTCATCATTAAAGAAAATGGTTGATTAGAAAACTGTGGACAATTACCATTCGCAAAGCGAATTTGAAGGCTAAGAAAATCCATACAGGTACGAATTAGAACAAATCAAATTGATGGTTAAACTGGTAGCCACCAGAATTGATTTTGATCATCTCTTCAAACTATTTACTATGCTCGAAATGGACATGGAACCGTTAGATTTAACAGATTAAGCGAAAGACGAATAGTCTGGTCTACCTCAGATTCCTGCAGATTTAAGAAATCATTCAAAAAAGAAAGAATATTAGGAGGAACAGTTGTTGTTAATCTTGATAATAATCCAAAAAACTAATCGCAGAAATCTAATATGGTTCATTTTCCCTTTTCGTTTAATTTTTTGTTATGTTTTAGTTTTTGACTTTCCACGTCTTTACATTTGAACATAAAAATTTATTTGCTGTGAATTTTTAATTCCACATTATCTTATTTATTAAAAAGGACGCAATCATTATCACATCCATATCTCCCAAGCAAAAAACTGTGAAAAGAGTTACCAAGAAAAAATCGAATGTACAAGATGAAGTAGAAATTGTCATCGATTTGCCGAAAATTATAAAAGAAAGAGAAACAAAACGCAAGATAAATTCAGGAATGCATGAAGATGAAACCGCATCAGAATGCAGCGTTGAGTCGTATGGCTCAAATATTAACGACAATAAAAAGGAAAAAAGCGGGTCTAATGCTGTTATGGAGATGGATCTATTCAAGCTTACTAGAAATAAGAATAAAAGACCCACTACTGACTACAGCATTGAAAATCAATTTGGTATCTCTGATAATCTAGTATTTTTCACCTCATCATCATATGCTGGGATAAGAACAGGCAAAATACGAAAATATTGGCTTATCGATGGAAAACATCAGGTGTCTGCGTATGAGGAGAACTGTTGAAAGCAGATATGCTCAGATTGGTTTTTTGGCTGCAAAAAAACGTACGCGACTTGGCAAGATTAAATTAGAATACGGACTCACTCTCATGGCTCAACTCATTCTATTTCCCTTTCACATTTTTCAATTTCATGTTCTTTCTTTTAATTGTATTGTTTTGTCATCTTTATTGTTGTTTACTGTGTTTGATTTTAATAAAACTTTATGTCAGCATTTAAATAACAAATTCGTAACATTTGAATTGGTTAACAATTTTAAATTATTCTGTCACATTGAATATCGTTTATGTTACAATGTTTAATAACTTTTTTTGTTCTCTTTTCAGATGGTTCATGTATATGAAAAAATCAATTACATAAGATCTAATCCTAAAGAATTCAATAGTTTTACAAAAAATTCATGATCAGTAGATGGAAATCGTAGTCTGTCTCGTCCTGCATCGGCTAGTGTTAAAAAGCCTACCTTCAAATAGTTAAAAACAAATATGCATTGTTTGGTGGTGTGTATCCAATTGATCGTTTACCACGTCTAACAACAAAACCTAAAACCTACGTAATCAACTTGGATGAAAATTATGGAGAAAGATCACGTTGGGTAGCTGTGCGTTTCAATAATTATGGTCGTGCTTTATACAGGGCGTTTTATTTATCCACTACGGCTATTACACTGAATATCTAAAGAACTAAAAGTTAAATTAAAATTAGAATTAGAAAACTTCTGGATGTTTCCAGAAGTTTTCTAATGTCTCATCATCAGTTATCAGTTAACCTCACGGTCTTGTAACTTGGCTCTTAAAGTGTTTTCAGATTGAAACATGTTTATCTTCTAATCAGTTCATAACAGACACTACAAAATAAAATCTGAGGTGTTTTGATTCGCTCTTTCATACGACCTCAAAACGACCTTTGAACGCTACCTTCGTTAAATGACCTCAATGACTTTTAAAATCGTAGGATCGAGCGCTCCAATTCTGTTCAGTCCTCTGTTCAAGTCTGACATTCATATGACTTTTAGTTCTTTAGATATTCAGTGTAATAGCCGTAGTGGATAAATAAAACGCCCTGTATTTTGATTCATGGAACATGGATTTGGACATGAGCCTGAAGGATTGATTCTAATATTTATAGAGCGCAATGCACCAAATGGTTACAGTCATTCATCGTTGAAATGTCAAGGAAACGATTCCACAGCTTGTGGTTATTTTGTTTCTTATTCGTAATCTTAGCTAATAGACTCTAATGGAATTTGTAAACATTTAATGAATAAGAAAATATTTTGGCTAAAATTTTATATGAATAATAAAATGTATAATTAATTCTAAAATGAAAACACAAAACTGATGAGTTTTGGATCATGGAATGTGCCAAAGCCAGCAGTTTATTACTACTATTATTGTCCATATTGGTTATCTCTCGGTAAAAGAGTACAAATTAACTATTCAAATTTTAAGGTGACATTGAACTATTTTTGTTACAAATGAGAGAAAGAGAGTGAAAGAAAGTTAGAAGACGGAAGAGACCTTGTCAAAGTGGTTTTGATTGCCACCTGAACTTATCTATAGCATGTCATTCTTTTAAAAATTTGAGATATAATTTGCATAAGTTTCATTGAAATTAGATATGAACTATAAGAAAATTAATGTTATTATATCTGGCAATGTTTTTTGGTTCTTTAATTATGGTAATGAGTCTGATTCTTGTTCAGGACAATGTGAATATGAAAAATTCCTTTTTATACTTCGTGATGTAAAGTTCAGACAAGCTCGAGCTCATTTATTATCATCTAATCAACATTATCTTCACAACACTCCATCATAATCCTAAGTCTGTAGCTCAAAGTATTTTGTTTTCTCATTATCATTATAACTTCATCATCTGACTACATATAATACCCCCTCACATCCTCTTAATCATTACAATCAAGATAATATTATAAAAGAACTCTGTCTTTTCTTAGTCGATTTAATTATGCTACATATCAAACAAATAAACTATCAATGAACTGTCAAAAATGTTGATTAAGTAGTGACAACAATCAGAGCGGCTCATTTACTGACTAGGAGGTCATTCATGGCATGTTTCAGCTCATATCATCTAAAAAACGGATTGTGGCCCATAGAACACATTTATTACTATAGCCAGAAAAATTTGTTTCTAAAACAAACAAGCTTAAGATGAGTTATAAGAAAATTGTTTCTTCCTCATTCAGAGTAAGATTGAGCTTTTTACAGAATTTGTGAGGGCGAAAAAATATACAACTATTGAGCACATCCTAACGAGTGAATAATGGTGCTCGGTGTTTACTATCACTTGGAATCATTATTATGTTAAATATTGTGAAATCAGGTGAGTAAATACAAACCAAGATGTTACCGAGGTTATAAAAAGAGTGAGTAGAAAAAGGTGAGAAGATAAAATGGGAAAAGGAGCCAGAGGGAAAAAAACTTGGAAAGGAAAGTTCTTAATGGAAAATGGCAAAAGAAAGAGCATTAAATTCAATTCGCCATCAAGCCTTGTCCATCGGAAAGTTATATATTGAAAAAAACATTTTATTTTGATTCCTGTTCAAGAGCATCATCTTTGCTCATCCCTGCGAACTTTTTAAAATAACATGGAACAAACAACAATCTATTCAAGATCAATATCATTGTTGTTTCCATTGTTAGAGGTGATATAATTTTCATCATTGTGACTCCTATTTGGGTTCATTGTGAAACAAGAGGAAAACAATTGATATTATATAATAGACTTAGAATTAAACCCGTTAAAAGATTACTTTTTTATCATCGGTACTCATGGGAATGATTTTTATTTCGATCCTTGAAATTTTTCAGTACAGAACTTTTCTTTTTAATATATATCGATGTTATTGTATTATCATTGTTGTCTTATTGTTGTGATAATGTTGATGAAGATTCTGTAAGATCATAATCATCATGTTGCTCTTGGTAATAAAAATAAAGAGAGTAGTTTTCATTGAGTAATGAAAATAACGGAGAAAGTGGGAAATCAAAGTGGGTTAGAATTCAAAGTCTTAATCATTCTTTATATATTTTCTTTCGTTGCTTCTTCTTGATATATATGATAACATTTCTTAGATTTTTCTTCATTTGATTCTTTTTTTTATTCTATTCTTTATCTCATTCAATTCATTTTTCTTCATCTTTTACCTTCTCCCGTTATTCTCATCCTTGTCCGTTCCTCTCTCTCTCTCTCTCTCTCTCTCTCTCTCTCTCTCTCTCTCTCTCTCTCTCTCTCTTGCGCACTCTTTGTCTTTCCACCTCCTCGTCTATGACAAGTATACATCAAGCCAAGTATTAGCTAAGATTAGTCTCAAGCTGATATTTTATCTGACAGAGTTATCAGAATAATTCAGAAAGAAAATCTTCTTTAGACTATGCTTCTCATCCCCTTCCCTGTCTACAATCACTTGCAAGTACCACCTTGAAGATAGTTTTCTTCAACTTGAATTGAATTGTAGTTGATAAATTTGATTTCATGGAGGAAAAAAAATAGTAGAATTATCAGTTGATTGTTTGATCATGATAATAATGATACCAAGCTTTAAACTGAACATTATAAATTTCCTCAGGTTCGGTTATCATGAAAACCTTGTTCTTACTTTTTTTTGGCTCTCTGTCTTGACTGTTCTTCTAATTTTTCTCATTGAAATGATCAATACTTCACCATCATGATAAGTATATAAACATGATGATAGTTTGTTCCCACTCTCTTTTCGTTATCTTTCATCTCACTTGATCTTTTTTTTTTGCTTGCTCATCTTTCTTGTCCCTCCACATGATCCAGTTCACTTTATCACTTACAATCTATTTCTCACTATCTTCCATCTTCTTCCGTTCTGATATTCTGATTGATGACAGGAAATTTACTCCCACTTATTCTGGTTCTTTCTTAAAGACTGACACGATGAAAATATTGTCTTTTCCTCACCAAAAAAGCTTTCATAATATCACCAAATATACCCAACATTTCATTGGAAATACAAAGTTATGAATTCGATTTAAAGTTGTATAAATTTCAAATAGAATCCCAACTTATACAGTAACCATTCATCAGCAGAATAACTTGCAATTTAAAAAGTAAAATAAGAATCCATAATAAAGTCCAATATCAAAATCTAGTGGATGAATAAAGAAATTCCAATATTCATCAGATCTCGAATACTTCAATACTCACAATCAAAAAGAATTGTTAGACTTTCAATATTCATTTAGAAAACAACAGGTAAGTTATTTATCACCTTTCCACTCTCATTTGCACCGATGGGTGATGAAAGTCGCCGTAAATTTAGGTCAATAAGTTTGGAATTAGTGAAAAAAAGTCTCAATTTAATTTACCCTCAGGTTATCACTCATTTTTCGTACAAAACTTTTTTCCCTCTGTATTGTTTACTCCAATTTTGTGTTTCCTTCTGCTGTATGTGTGATGAGAATAACAAAAAGAAGGCATTCTGATCATGAAGGTAAACATGATACTGAATTTGGGAAGATGAGAAAACAAAAACAACATCTAGATCAAGATCTTAACAATAATAATAATAATAACAAAAAGAAGATGAAAATTTTTTTCCATTTTTCTTCAAATTCTCTGAAATATAAAAGTCAAAAGTTTCCAAAAGGATGAGAAAAGTTTACAGATAAAAAAAGAGAAGTTGAAATTATCCAGAATGTGTTACAATGAGTTAAATTTATCATGAATTCCAGGGTAGGTTGAAGGTAAATTTTAATCTTTATAGTGAACCTGATCATCATAGGAAAATGATTATCGTTGAAAGATATAATTTGATATTATATTTGAATCATAGTGATTTAGGTTAACCTTGTCAGGAATCGTAGGAGAAGTGAGAAAAAAAAGTTCAATCAACTTACCCCCATAGGCGATACATTTTAATTTTAAACTGGTTCCTTCACCATAAGAAGCTCCAAGTGAATCAATCATTTGATTGTTTGTTTCATCAGTTATAATCAACTTTTTAGCTGGAACTGTAGTCACAATCAGTATCATTATTCAGCATAATGAACATGGTGACAGTGAAAAAAGAGATAAACAGGATTCACCATGATTATCCCAATGAATTCGGAAATGATTGTGAAAGTAAAAAAAAGAGCTCAGTTTTAATGGATGAAACCTGGGAATGGGAATCGTTGTAATAACAATCAAGTTTATCTTCATTATCATCATGTGCAGTTGATTTTTATTGTAATTTATCAGGTTGATTCATCGTTGATCATTATCTTTATCTAATTCATTCAATGAATTACTTAGAAAAAAAATTCATTCAATAAGATAAAAAAGAGACAATCTGAAAGAACTGTCGTTTTTTTGGCTCTTTAACTTTAATTTGCTTTTTCGTCCAACTATTAGCATCGAAATAGCCTCAGGTAGAATCAATTTCTACCTCTGATAATAATAATAGTAATAACTGATAACCTATTATATGATAAGACTTGTAAATATTTGCGTTTCTACCGCAATCAAATCAAAAAAGTAATCAGAACTTTATAAAACAATCGAACCGATGGGGAAAAAATCTAATCAATTCCGTTGCAACGATCTCCAATAGAGGAGAATAAAAAGTTTCTAAACTTTTCCGTTCAATACTTATCGATATCCATGTTCTTATCAATTATATTGTTCAATAAGTTGTTCAATGGTTTTATAGAAACAACTTGAAATAATCGAGAGTGTTATTATAAAGATAAGATTCTTTGGATAATATTATTTTGATTCTGAATGTCTCTTGAGAGGCTATTCTGATACTCGGTGTACAAGAGTCGAAGGGAGAGAAAGAGGCAAGTTTATTCATTATCAATATTGATTCAGTTTGACCAATTGCACTTATTGAGAAAGAAACTTAATCAATAATATGATTCAATTTTGTTGTCGGCATATCGATACAATTGAGCCATGAAGAGCATGATGAAACTGTTTCAATCGTAATGAAAATTGATAAGAAACTTTGAAGCCTTAAAGTTCATTATCAGTTTTTTTAACTATCTCAATGCAAAGTGATGATGGTTTGATGACAATGATGATGAAAATTATGTCGTTGTCGGCGGTAAGTGATGCTGAGCATCAGAAATTCTTGTAACTCAAACTCCTTAAAACAGTTTATTCAACTGGAATCGATTTAATTTGCTTAATGAGCCTTCACACGGTTCAATTGGTACTAAGAAAAAAAGTTCGTAGAATAAAAAAAACTAAAGAGAGAATCTTGAGAATTGAAGCATCATCCTTATCACTCCCAATTCTCATCCTTTTATTTTCTTTTCTTTTGTAATATTTTCCACCAGCAACAGTATGAAAAAAAAAATAAAAAGACAGAGAGAGAGAGAGAGAGAGAGAGAGAGAGAGAGAGAGAGATGGCTCATCATCAGCAGAAAAAAACACCAACATTGAATTTGAAGGAAAGAGCAACAGAAGCAAAAAGATGAATCTCTTTTTACATTTTCCTCTATTTTTCATCTTCATCATCATCATGGAAAAGGAAGTCAAA